TTCAAGCAGAAGACGGCATACGAGATCCAGGAAGCAGTTCAAAAGAAAATGCGGTCGGTTGGACCTGATGTTGATTGGCCTGATGTTTCGGATTCTTTCTCGAACCCATCACCAGGGACAATCGCAGATACGGGTAATCGGGGTGCCAGAAATGCAGTATATATAGGGCGCGATTGCCACTGAGCCACGCGCCCATTACAATTAGCAGATCCAACAGCCATCGCTGCTGGTCGTACTTGATGCGATGATTGCTCGTTAGTCCGAGTCCAAGTTATTAATCGTCGGAATTACAACACTGTTCTCGATTCTTGGCATAATGATAACTCGATGATGTGGCTCGCTGCCACTGAAGAGCAAATGGCTACCCACACAACTTTGTCAAAAGTCGCATACGCAACCAGGAAGAGAGACCGAAACGCATCAGCTTCAGACTTTGGCAAGCTCTTCAGTGCGCGGAGGACGTCTCGGAAACCGCTGGCCGTCATCCCACACACCCCGGAGTTGGAGCTTCACACCTACCAGAGGCAACTATCCGGCGCTAAGTAATGAGGCCAAAAATCCACTGTCACGGCAGGAAACCTCTGGAGTCGTTTATTGAATCTGCTGCAGTTGCGGAAGAAGCAACTACGTTGGAGAAGCTGGAAGACTACTCCGCCCGACGATGGCCAAACATGCGGCAATAGTAAGGAGGAGGGACGCTAACACTCAGGTCGCTGCTCATACGATGGGACCTGGCCAAACCTTTAAGTTTGACGAGCCCGACATGTTCGAAAGGACTTACACCCGCGTCAAACATGAACTGCTTCGGTCTTGGTTCTCTGGCCGCACTCCATTAACAAACACAAAAGCCGCATCGCTCCGTATTCCGTGTTAATACATTACCTAGACAGATTAATTAGCCACGCGGTAAGGATGCGAGCAGCAAAAGTTTCCAGTAAACGTGAGCCGCATTGTCGAGTCGTCATCAACCCAAGAATCAAGAACGATGGTAAGATTTTCGACCATTTATGACTTGGAGGCTGACTAACGAGCGATTATCGCGTCATGTATGGTAGCCGTAGCTGCATGAAATCTGCTTCTTGTAAAGCCTGCACCCCATGCACCCTCACTACCCCTATCTGCGATTGTCTCTGGTCATGAAGTTCGAGCGAGAATCTGAAAAGTCAGGCCAACCAACACCATGCTCCAGAGATCGCATCTTCTTCTAGGTTAAGTTTTCTTACCTAGCGCCCTTATTGCTTCATCAATACAGGCCCTGCGGTTATTATCTCACTGCAAACGCATTAAAGGATACTTTTCGCAAATTTCGCTGATAGATCATGGTGGCAAATAAATTTGTAAACCTATCCTTTTGAAGCACCGACAGACTACAATTTTTAGCACAGAAAAAGTTTAGAGAGCCTGAATTGACCTCACCTGAATAATTCATACAAACAACCCATCACATTCATTTGCCGCTGTCACTTTAACGATGTCAGTACCGATTATTTACAGTTTTTAAGCCGTCTCCTTAATTATTTTTGAAGGGATTCTGATCGATTTTTATCTTATTATGTTAGTAGTGAACGTATTCTAGGTTTATTACCTACCCATAAATAAGAATTCTGAAGTTTTCTAGGTTATAATTTGGCAAAGTCATCTAAATACTGTTAAAACTTTATATCTAGGTGTTCCAGCTGAAGCCTAGCACCTAGTCGTTATTGGCACGCCTTTTACTGTCTGCGATGACAACCGCATGGATCCCATAGGAACCGCAAGTTCACAGCCTACCTTCCAGGCTTTCATTACGCAAATTGGACGAAAATTACCGCGTGGATCCAAAACTCAATGGCCTGACACATTTGAGGACTGTCTTACTGATTTCGATCGGCTCCTTTGTCTACTGAATTTGCTCATCCCGTCTAAGGAAGGTAAACCCTACAGTTAGTTAACTTAATCCTGTATTGCATTATACGCCCAGATTTAAATAACAGCCTGACACAAAGCACCAAGCTTTCAAACATAATTGTAGCATTTTGAATGAAGTCTGCTGCCGTAGACGAAGAGGAGGGAAGTATTGTTCTCGCTTCGTGCATTTTAATCTAGCGAACTGTTACAGCGATACCAATTCAATTTACACGAATAATAAAATGTTTACTTAAATTTAATGAGTAGAACATCCTTCTGAGTAAATATTTGCCGTTTTATCCTTCTCTGCTATTTTGGTCTTTCCAGTCGCCGAATCGGGGGCACAAGTGCTAGGTCTACGTATCCCTGTTCCTCTTTGCGAAAACAGTCGAAAGTCCGACGTCCTGGCGGCGAAATTCCGCGAAATCGGAAATGAATTTTGGCGGTCAAAAGCATGCTTGGATGCCAATAATTATTATAACCTCGCCCTGTTCCACTCTCAGTCAAATATGGAGAAAGCACTTGCCCTCGGTAACCGCTCCTGCGTTCTCTACTATCTTGAATGTTATCAAGAATCAGTGAACGATGTTACGACCGCATTGAAGGTAAACGAATCTATTGTCAGTATCACCGTTTAGTTGCTTCATAGCGGATTATAAAAAGAAATAAAAAAACACCTCAGAATTGGTCTTTATTGTGCCGATTTTCAGAACACAGCATACATTTTACCAGTTGCTACATCTACGAGAGTTTCAGCTCATGCTTTCATGATTTCATAATTTCATTCTTAACGACACAGCTAGGCTAATCGCCTGAGATAAGATGGATAACTCTGACTTCCGCTCACTTAAAGTCGAATATTTTTTCTCTTAGCTGGGATTTCCATCAGAGAAATCGGATCGTCTGCATGTTCGTGCAGGCCAATGCCTCCTCCATCTTGGCCGTTTTGTGGAAGCTAGTAAACACTTCTCGCAAGCCCTGCAATCATTGACGGAACCAGGTCTACGACGCTTGGCTGCCGATGGACTTGTGAAGTGTAAAGCCGAACAGGCTGTTGCCTCGAAAGTAGCCTGGCGATGTGAACGCGGTGACCCCACTGCCTCCGTTCGGCAAGCTTACGACTCAAGCTTGACAGCCACGTCTACAGGATCCACGCTTCTGCTCTCTGCCAACACGGAATCGGGCGCTTCCGTGCGCCTTTTCGATGCTGGCCCTGCCAAAGGTTGGACACTGGAGACAACTCGAAATGTCAGGCCAGGTGCGTAGACTGGACTATACGGTTGTTCAGTGCTCCCTGCTAGGTGTGACAACACCACAGACTATGGGCTTGAGAAATGTCTTTTTGATCGTTAGCTGTTCTTTGTAAGCCATGTTTTCCTTTCACTGCATTTATAACGCTTCCAAAAACTACCCACTTTCCTGTTCTCGACCTAAGTTATATGAACCTTCCGACGCTTTTAGTGCACCAGTTATTTCCTTGAGGCACCGATTCCTGTGCCGGGATCTACTTTACTTCTCGGGCAGGTAAATAGTTTGGTGCCTAAGTCAATAAGGAGTTACAGGTCATTAATGATTCCCTTAGGGGCTGCAATGAAATGTGCACTGGACTATGTCCAACCTTTGCGGTGAATAAAGTATAGGTAGTAAAACAAATCATGCCTACTACTACGAAATAAGTAGGCAGTTTTACGTGAAAAAGGGGTTCGGAAATACTATCAAATTATCCTTACCCCCAGGGAGACTAGGGTTAAGATTAAGGTACGGTTTTAGTTAAGGTTGGGGTTAACGCTAGCGCTAGGTTTGAGATTGAAGTTACAGTTAGCGTTAAGATTCAAAACTATCCATCTTTCCTAGAATTTCACACGACGTCCTACGTTACTGTCTTTCTGTACGAAAAACGCTTTCTTGCAAATTACCCGAAACTAATTTCGGTGTTTTGTTTTAGAAAATTGTAGCGCAAACGCTGTAAGCTTGATACCTTCATTTTTTCCTTTTACACGTTGTGCCTTTTTTGTTTATGTTTTTTTCACCTGCCGACACATTATGACAATTTGACTGTTGTTTCTGCCTTCTCCCCCTCCTTTTTGTTTATTCCCACCTTCTTGGAGATTTGCCAGGGTACCCAAATTAATCGCGGTCTCACTCTCCTCTTCCAGCCTTTGTAGCTGCCGCACTCTTGCTTGCTTTGCCTTTGTCACAATTTCACTGTCTCTTCTGCGAAACCTTCCTAAGTAAAGCCAGTTTTTGGGCGTAGCTTACTTTTCGTAAACGCGATAGTTCGACTGTTGATTTAGAAGAAGTCTACCGTGTGCTTCACAGCAGGGTGGTGCAAGGACGGTAACATGTAATGCGTCTATTTCACTCTCTGTTCTGATCCACACCTGGGCCTGGGTATCAGGACCGAGTCAAGAAAACCGGAGGCGGGAGAGGGCTCAGGTGACTGGTGTAGCCGAAGTTGCCCCTAAGCGTGCCCCCACACCTGGCTCCGACCTCTGCTGAGTTGGAGTGCTGTAAATGCCACACTGAACAGCAGCCATTGCAGCCAGACTGCCAGTTAGCCACTCCACACAAACAACGTACACGGGACTAACCGTGTAGTCCGAGTTTCCCGTCTGTTGACAATCTTCCAAGGCACGGCTTTAAGCGCACCATGACAGTTTCAAGCACATCAGCTTGTTTATGGTGAAGAAAGTGCGCCGAGTCGTCTATCCTCCACCTCCAGCAT